TTTCTGGCGCTACTAGTACTAGCCCTCCGCTCTTCCCCAGTAGAATATTGGACACCTTCCGACCTGAGGGGCTCATCTTCCAGCATCATACCTTTTTGCCTTTTGGTACTGTCCATGGGGTTTTCATGGCAAAGATACTGGAGTGGGTGCCATTTCCTTCTCCAGTGGATCACATTTTGTCAGAGCTCTCTGCTATGACCTGTCCGTCTTGGGTGGCCCTGCACGGCATAGCTCATAGCTTCATTGAGCTATGTAAGCCCCTTTGCCACGACAAGGCAGTGATCCATGAAGGAGAAATAAATGTGTACTATATCACATAAATGTTCATTTAGCCCTTACACATATTACGCAAGGCAAGTGATTTCTTCACAGTAATATTCGGTCATTTCAATATCCTTTTCTTATTTTTAAATCTATTTTCCTTCACCTGTGTGAGCTTTCCCTCTTGGCACTGGAACATGAATGACTTGTCACTGCTTTGCTCCTTAAAGGAATAGCCACAGCAAATGTTGTTCTAAGAAACAAAATAGCAGCAGCAGCTCTTCCATTATGTTTGCACAATTATTAAACCAGTGATGCAGGTACAGGGCATGTGCTGATGTCATGCTGACGTTCCAAAGAAATACATCTCTGTAGAAACTTGCCAGATCAATGCTGGTGGGACCTTCCCAACCATGGGTGCGGCATACAAATAGTGTGTTCTTTAACATTTTTTGTACATAGAACCTTTCCTTCCACTTCTGGATTAGCACTGCAGTCCTAAAATAGCACTCTCTATATATACATGTGTGTGTGTGCAGACACAGACACACATACCCTATCCACTTTCCTTTGATTAAATTAAATACATAAGATATGGAAACAATAGAAACATTATCCTTTGGCAATGCAGCTACCAGTTAAAGTGGCTTTAATAAGAGATGCAGAAGTTTCTGGAGAAGATTGTTATCAGTGGCTATTACTTAATATAGCTGTATGCTACTCCCAGAATCAGAGGCATTTTGATCCCGGGCTTTCCTCTTCTTGCATTCTAAGTGCTTCTCTTTCAGCCAGGAGAAACCAGTGACATGCAACACAGCTTCCTAATGGAAGGGAGAGTGGCACACTTAATAAGAGGAGATAAAGTTGGGATTCCTTTCTATTTCTTTTCTACCCTCCCCTCCCAGTTAGGGCAAGCTTAGGGAGGAGGCAGGGATTCACTCGCCCTGCCGCTTTGTCAAGCAGCCTCCATAGATGGAGCAGAGAGGAGGGAAAGCTTGGGGAGGTGAAGAGTGTAGGGAATGGAGTAGGCAGGGCCCATAGAGTGAGCTTAAGCCTCTACAGACTGGATGGGGAAACTGCAGAATTGATTGGATTGCAGGTTTCCCATCCACTCCCTTAGAAAAATAACAGCAACAGGCAGCAGTAGAATTGGCCTAGGGGAAAACTTTTGTCTTTCAAGTGTTTTATTCTAAAACTAAGCCATTTGTTACAGAGTTGTACAATATTTCTAAAAGACATTAAATAACAAACACAAAGCCAACTTCCTAAGGAACAATGAGTAGAATTATGCAACAGTGTAATCCCATTGGGCTAAATATTTAGGGCAAGATTTTGCCCTCAGGCAGTGCTGCTGACCTCACAGGGCAGAACTTGGCTCCTAGTTATACTGCACACTCCACCCATTCTTTAGACATTGTGCAAGTCTGAAAAGTTGTTTACACAAAACATGAAGTATCTTTAACTGTTTGCTAACTTATATAACATCAATGATATAACGTTGTCTGCGGTTTTTGTAACCCAAAGAAAATGTAGCCTGCCTTGCAACTATCATGTGAACAAAGACATCTGAAAACTTGAATAATAAACTTGAAACCTGACACAAAATAATACCAAGATTCTTAAATTAAAATCCTATTACAAACATCAAATCCTGCAGCCTATTACAAAATGATGAGTCACTTTAGTGATATAAGCACTTGCTTCCAAATATAGTGCTTGGGTTAGACATGAATGGTACCAGTGATTGTTTTCTTTGTGGGGTTTTTACCTCATAGGTGACAGCAACAGGTTTGACAAGGGTTCACAGGAAGCTAATCCAAGTTGCAGAGTCTGCTTTGAGACAACCCAATGTTCCACAAAGCAAAATATTCAAGAAAACCCCTTGTACAGGTCCCTCTTGCAACTCTCTTGCAGGAGATACTGGGCCACTCTTCTGACAAGAGACTTTGAAGCATGCGGAAAGAGATCCTGACTCAGAAGAAGTAGACAGGTTATAATCCACAGATAAAATGGATCTGTGGATGCAGAGATAAGCCAGGTGGTCACTGAGAATCAGGCAGTTTCAAATACTGTGAAAAAGTATAGTAACTGTGTTAATGTGGAAGGGAGGCAGACTCAGAGGCTTTAATCCTAGTGTACAGCACTAAGTAAAAAAAAGTAGACCAGCTCAGAGGTGTCAGGTGCTCCAAAAGATTGGCAGAAGGATTTGCCTTGAAGGTGGGGTTTATGCATTTCAGTTTAGAAGGGAGGGAAGGTATCCAGTTTGGAATCATTTTCTTATCATTAAGCTGCTTTTCTCTAGCAGTCAGTATTCTAAATTTACTGTTGACTTATACAATAATCTTCATTTGTAGTTTAAAGCCAGGAGCTGGTCAACATTAACATAATGAAACCTTTTCTTTAGAAAGCCGTTTTACTAGTCTGCTTGGAGAAAGAGAGAGAGTATGGCAAGGACACTTAAGGACAGCAGGGCTGGCTGCAGCAGCCTCCACCAGCATCTTCCCTAAAGAAGTGGAAGAAAGCGATAGACAATTCCACCTTTGGTTGGTGGCTATTAGATTGAGCCTTGAATCCCCCACGCAGCCAAGTTGTTTACTGGGTGACATTAGCCAGTCACTAACTCAAACCCAACCCATTTCAAAGAGTTTTTGTGAAGAAAACATGGAGAGTAGGAGAAAGATTGTGTGAACTGGCTTGTAGAATAAAGATGGGATATCAATATAATTAATAAATAAATGTATCCTGCATGTTTCTCACACTGATCTTTACTGTGTTCTCCTATTTGTAGAAATTTATTTTCTTGAACATAGGGCCAGGAAGGACTAACCCAAGGCTTTACTTGTTGCACCATGGTTGCAGAGTAAAGAACTGCAACTATGGCCAGTTACCAGCAAGGAGCTGATATCTGGACTGCCTATGCTAGAAAGGATGTTTCATGGTGCAATGGTTGGCCGTATCTCTAGTGAGTCACTTGCTACGTAGACCAGATTCTTGCTTCTTCTCTTGACTGACCCATCTTGTTGTTTTGTCCAGCAGCTGGATCTCACATGATCATAAGCAAACTTACTGACAAAATGGTATGCTGGGTTGAATCCAGACTAAACTAAATTCCAACAGAAAACAATGGGATCAAAGTGAATTTATCTCCCATTTGCCTCACTGATTTCAATAGGAACTAAGTAGATTTTTTTTACTGCAACCACCCCACTAATCTCCATGGGTCCTACTCTCAAGTAAGCCATGGGCTGTATCCCAGACAATGCTTCCACAATCTTCTCTTGGGAAAGATCACACATAAACAGAAACTGACATGCACAGAGTGCCTGTTCCTTTCCTGTTTGGCAATGTGAAACAGTATTCTCAATAGGGAAGAGGAAGGGAAAAAATTGTTTGGTTTGCATTTTAATACAAATGCACTGAATTTCACACTTTCAAACTAACATGAGAACCAAAACTGTTTTCTTTTGAAATGTGCACTTATCTGAATTTTGCAGTAGAGTTCTCTAATGTGTACAGAACTGTGTGCATTTAGTTCACTCTAGAATTGTTTAAAATGTTAAAAAGCAGTTTGTTAGGAAGATTGCTTGCAAATTATGTATATTAGGAAAATTATATAGCAAAATGCATGAATGAAGAGACATGTGCACAATAGCATCTACAAATTCTCAAAATTCAGGCTGAATGGAATATTGAAAAAGTGAGAAACTGAAAGCAACTGAATCTGGTCCATCCCCAATTCTCAGTGAAGCCAAGGGCCAAACATCCCAAGCTCCTTGGAACCCCATGGCAGGAACGTTGCCCTCCTGTCACAGGCATTCAGGATTAATGTCATTTTTTCTTGGTCTAGGATTGACACTAGCAGCCCTGTACCCAAGCTAGCTGTTGAACAGCTCCTGGTCACCACCCGTGACCTTTGCAGCAAAACTTTCTAATGAAAACTGTAAAGATGGGATACAATTATTACATTAAACGTGTTTGCCTAGTTTATTCATAATTCATGCATCACAATCTTTGAAATAAATATTGTAGCAAGGGTGGTCCATTAAACAGAGTGCCATCAGAAATCTTGGAAAAATAGTCACAGGCTGTGTTTTTCCACATAACAGGAATAATGATGCACTTCACACAATTGTCATCATGAATGAAATAGTTGCACATCTTAAAATGCCATTTAAATGTTGTAAACTGACTGGATAGCTTTGGCTATAGGCAGTATAGAAATGAAATAAATAGTAATAAATCGTAAAATAGTACCTACAGAACCATGTGCTGTTATTTTTGTATAAAGTATGGTGTTTTATTCATAGTTTTTCTCAAACAGAACCCTTTCTTGAACCATCCCCAATTTGGGGTGGGGTGGCGGGGAAGCTAGCTGTAACCTAAGAAAAGTGTTCTGCTCAGCTGTGCATGTATAGTGGTTGGACGGAAAACGAGAACCAAAAAATACACAAAGAAGGACACAATGGGAATGTAGCCATTATGTTTAATGTAACAGTAACATAAATGAACTGCTATTATTATTCTAGTTAGTGTACATATTCAACAAAGCATATTTTTAATAATGTTGTTTCATGAACAGTGCAATCCTAGTTGTATTTACTCTGCAGTAAGTCCCACTGAATTCAGTGGGACTTGCCCCTAAGTTAGGGTACAGCTTTGCAGCCTAAGTACCTTCATACAGGCAGAAGGATTTTCTTTTCTTTTTCCTTTCTCTATGTAGAATATGATTTAAAACGTACCTCGAAACAGACAGGCATGTTGCGCTTCAAAGCAATTTCAAACACTAGGCTGATTTCTGACTTGTTTGCATCCTTTTCCTCTTCTACTTCTTTACCTGATTCTCCATTCTGGTCAAGAAAGATGAGAAATGTCTGTTAAAACAACTGAGCATCTCAGTACAAGGTACATTTCCTCAAAAGTAACACAGAAGAACCCATTTTTCTTATTGCCAATGTTTTTGTATTTATGTATTGATTTTAATATATTTACATAATGTAGCTGTTTTTAAATATTTCATTTAAGGAATCAGGAAATTCCCTTCCACCCTGCAATATCTTTGACTATCCTGCTTTGGATAGGTGATCTATAAGAAAGAGGAATTGCCGCAGATTCAAATCACATTTATGAACTCTTTCCATCAAGGGGCTCAAGGTGGTATACATAGAGTCCCTCTGTATTGCATCTATACACAGACAGAAGCTGTTTGCTTAGCTTTAGCAAGATTGATTTATTATGTGCTTTCAAACCAAACTGGTGAACAGTGAGAAAATTCATATTGGGTCATATCCAGGGTCATATCCAGCCTTAGTCAAATATACAGTTACAACTACTTTGATCCATAGATTTCAGTAGGACTACTCTATGACTAGGTCTGGATCCATCTCATTCACTTTATTGTCCAAATGATCGATAAGCAAGTCCTAATGATTTTGAGCATAAAAGATCCCCTTGTATGCATCCTCTATGTGTTTGGAAGAGTAATTCAGTGTTGGAACCATTATCCAGATAATTATCCAGTGTTGAAACCTTATCCTGAGGCCTCCAGTCAAATCTATCTAAAAAGTTACTGATTTCACTGATAAATTAAAACAGCATAGCTATTGTGGCAAGCTTACAAAGAGACAGTGATTCCTCAAATATAAATTGGAATTCTGAATTTATCCTCATCTTTCTTTAATTCACACCACCTTATTTATCTGCATATTTTCTAGCCAACCATATGGTGAACTGAAAACCAGGCAAATCAGGTGTGATAGCCAATGGTGTCCATTTGCCTTTGGAACAACTACCATTACTGGATTGAATCCCCTGCCATTGCCTGCAGCGGGGACAAGGAGAATTGAAACTCTCATTAAATGAACAAAGGTCTGCTCACATAAAACTATGTTGCAGCCCTATGAATTAAGGACACATTTCAGAAGAGTGTATTTAAACACATATTAATAATTCTATTGGCAATTGCTACAGAAAAGCAGGTTGCTTGCCTGTAATTGATGTTCTTCGAGTGGCCATCTGTGCATTCACACATATGGGTGCTGCGCCTGTGCAGTGCCTAAGGCTGGAAAGATTAGAAAGCTAACGGTTTTTGGCAGAAAAACTCCCCTCCCCTCCCCCTCAGTGCTATATATAGAGTGGAGTGTTCACCATTTTCCTCAGTCTTTGAAAGACCAATCGTTTGCCCCCTTTTGGGAGAGAATATATTATAACAAGTTTGTAAGGTACCATGAATATCAAGGCATGGTATCGATGAAAAATTCCACACCCCGATACCAAGCAGGGCCAGAGGGTGGGTTGTGTGAATGCACACATGACCACTCGAAGAACATCAGTTACAGGTAAGCAACCTGCTTTTCTTCGTTGTGGCCTCTGTGCATCAAACATATAGGTGATTAGCAAGCTTGCCAGACTCAGATGAGGGAGGTGTCGTCACTGAAGGACAGCGAGAGAACTGCTCTGCCGAGAGAGCAATCCTGTCTGGCACACACATCAAGATGGTAGTGTCTGGCAAAGGTGCACGGAGCAGCCCAAGTTGCAGCCTTGCAGACATCTTGAATTGGGATTCCAGAAGCAAAGGCAGAAGATGCAGCTACTGCTCTTGTGGCGTGACCTCTTGGAACAACAGGTAAGTCTATTTTGGCAAGCTGATATGCCAGTACAATAGTGTTTACTATCCATTTAGAAAGTCTCTGAGATGTAACAGGAGAGCCTATATCCTGTTCAGAATATTTAACAAAAAGTCGATTCGATCGTTGAACAGATTCAGTATGCGACCTATAGAAGGCTAAGCAACGGTGTATATCAAGGGTATGCAGAGATCTTTCAATCGGATTCGTTGGTGATGGAAAGAAGGCAGGTAGTACAATTTCCTGGTTCAGATGGAACGAAGTGGCAACTTTAGGTAGAAACGTCGTATCCATACGAAGAACAACCTTCTCTTTATGAAAGTTCAAATAAGGCGGATCCACTCTGAGAGCACACAGTTTACTGGCTCTTCTAGCTGATGTGACAGCCACAAGAAAGGCTGTCTTCCATGTTACAAGGCGTAAGTCTATAGTTGCCAGAGGTTCAAATGGAGCTCTGGTAAGCGCCTGGAGTACTACTGAGAGACTCCAGGTAGGCATAACTGGACAAACTGACAGATGCAGATTCTGTAGTCCCTTAAGAAATCTCCTGATCCATGGTTGTGAGAAAACCGAAGTTCCTTGTATGTCCCCACAGTAATACGAAATTGTGGCCGTGCATACCTTTATGGATGATGGCTTAAGTCCCGAATGATAAAGGTGCAGGAGAAATTGAAGTATATCTTCTACTGATGCTGATTCCGGAGTAGATGAATGTGTCCCAGCAAAGGAGGAGAATCGGCGCCACTTAGCTGTATAAGATCTTCTCGTTGATGGTCGTAGAGCAGTTTCGAGAATTCTCTGAATATCTGGATCGAGAACTCTCAAACCCAAGGCAAAGTTCGTCGGGACCGAGGAAGCAGGCAGCGTGTCGGTCCCGTAAATGCGAGTTTCAGAAGGCACGGATATTGTCGGAACTGAGTCGGTATCGATGTTCATCGGATTTGCCAAGCTGTGAGGTTCAGCAATGATAAGTCTGGACGGTGAACAGTCCCGTCCTGTTGCGTTATCAGATATGGAACAGGTGGAAGATGAAAAAAAGTGTTGTGCGACATTCTCAGAAGAGTGGAGAACCACGGTTGACGTGGCCACCATGAAGTTATCAAGATTCCTGTGGCCACGTCGTGAGCAATCTTCGATACCACTTTCGTTAAGAGTGGACTCGGAAGGAAGGCGTAAATTTTTATGTTGTTCCAAGGGATCATGAGAGCATCTCCTGCTGATCCCGGTCCGATGCCCACCCTGGAGCAAAACTTCTTGCATACCCTGTTTGCATGGGTAGCAAACAAGTCTATGTCCAGATGTCCCCAACAGTGAAAAAGCTGGTTGCAGACTTGTTGATCCAGCTCCCATTCGTGGGTTGTCGACATTTGTCTGCTCAACAGGTCGGCTTCCACGTTGTCTGTACCAGGTGAACCGCCAGAAGAGTTATGTCCTTCTGGATACACCAGTCCCAGATCTGCATTGATAGCCGAGCCAAGGCGGCTGACTTCATACCGCCCTGTTTGTTCACACAGAACACAGCGGCTATATTGTCGGAGGCTATCTGAACTACTTGGCATCAAAGAATATCCTCGAAGGATCGAAGAGCCTTGAAGATCGCTAGTAGCTCGAGGAAGTTGATATGTTTGTCTGACTCTTGTCGGTCCCAAGTGCCTTGAGTGCGGAGATCCATACATACCACTCCTCAGCCGATCAGTGACGCATCCGTGTAAAGAGTCATGGTTGGTTGTGGTGGTCGGAATGGGACACCCACATTCAAATTGGCTGGAATTGTCCACCATATAAGAGAACGTAGAACAGAGCATGGGAGCTGTATTAGTTTGGTAGGTGAGTCCCGCTGCGGATGAAACATTTTGTTGAAGCGTAGCTGAAGAGGTCAGAGTCGAAGTCTGGCATGTGGAATGATGGCAACTGAAGCAGCCATATACCCCAAGAGTCTCTGGATGGAGAGAGCAGGTATGGTCCTGTCTCGTCGGATCCGATGAATGCATGAACAGAGGCTATGTTGTCGATCCGGAGGGAGAAATGCCCTCTCTAGCATAGAGTCAAGGCGTGCCCCAATGAAGTCGATCATCTGCACGGGAACAAGGGATGATTTCTCCCGATTAATGCATAGTCCAAGATCATCTAACAGAGCACAGGTTGTATGGATGGATGACATAAGACCTTCTCTGGTCTGGCAAACTATCAGCCAATCGTCCAGGTAAGGATATACCTGGACATTTCGGAGTTGAAGATACGCGCATACCGGTGCCATACATTTTGTAAAAACCCATGGGGCAGTGGTTAGTCTGAATGGGAGTACGTTGAATTCGAATATATCTGAGCCAACAGTGAAATGGAGAAGATGCCTATGACAAGGGTGAATCGAAATGTGGAAATAGGCATCTTTCAAATCCAAGGAGGTGAACCAATCCTGTCTCCTCAGTAGCGAAATGATATTTCGAAGTGTGGTCATCCTAAATTTTTTAGGCTTAATAAATTGATTAACACCTCGTAAGTCCAGGATTGGACGGAGACCACCATCCCATTTAGGGACCGTAAAATGTCTTGAATAGAATCCGTGAAGCCCCTCAGAACGGGAGAGGTGACGAATCACTCCTTTACAAAGCAGTTGGTGAACTTCTTCTTGTAACACGGGCGAGCATGGTGTAAATCAAATCTGGCTCGATAGAGGGACGATGTCGAATTCTATTCCGTATCCAAGCTGAATGATGGATAAAACCCACCAATCAGATGTGATGGACTCCCAAATGGGGAGTCGGCTTTGTAGCTGGTCCCCAAATGAGAGGGGGAAAGGTGGGAGTGGGAGAGAAGGAAAGGTTTGCCCGGCCTGTCAGTGTTGACATTTATCACTGTCAAAACGGCGATGGCCTTGCTGGAAGCACTGCTGCAGCTGTTGTTTACATCGCTGCTGGCACTGTTGTCTAGGTTGGTACTGCTGGCAATACGACAGTCTGGACCAGGACCACTTACGGTGCTTTTGAGGCTGAATCTCCATACAACGAGCTGTCATCCTTGATTCGTGTATTGATTTCAGCTTGTGGTCTGTCCTGGCATTGAAGAGTCCAGATCTGTCGAACGGCATCTCCTCAATACGTCTTTTCATCTCCTCCAGAAAGTTGCAGCTTCTCAGTCACGCATGCCTCCGGAGAGAGATGGCACTGACCAGAGCCCTGGAATCGGTATCGACGTGATGCCGCGCCGTCGAAAGTTGCTGAATT